TGCGCACCCCCCCCCCGCCCCCCACCCTGAGATGATCTGCGGTTTTCTAATACAACTGGTATTCTGCAAAACAAAACTATGCGGTTTATTGGTGTTGAAATAGAGCAAGAGACGAGTGCACCCCCTCCTAAAAAAAATCCTGGATCCACCCCTGGAACTTCGAAATAACAAAGGGCCAAGGGACTGGCCAATTTTCATTCGCTACAACAAATTTTCTTTATATCGAGGTCCTTTCACTATTACTGGGGTAGAGAAAATCGTTTGTTATACCGAGGACTTCGTTATGTAGAAGTTTGTTATCATTCCAGATTCGAGTTCGTCAGTTCCAGTTTTGACATCATGCAAATAAAGAAATTGCAATATTTCATGTTCTTAATGAAGATAAATTTTACAATTTACATGGTGTACCATGTAGAAACCTCGATATTTGAAAATTTCTAGATTTTGCATTGTTCAAAATATGGAACTTTCGATATTTGGCGTTCGTAGTGGATACAAATTCCATTTTTTGCATTATGCTCAATATAAAAAGCAAGATATTTGAAAACTTTCGACTTTTGCATGTTGCAAAATATAGACATTTGCATTTTTGAGATTCACAATGAAGACAATTCCATATTTGACGAGGTGCAAAATATAGAAAGCTTTGACAATCTGCAGATTTTACTTCATGCAAAATAAAGAAATTGTAATATTTCACTTTCATAATGAAAATCAATTTTACATTTTACATGGTGCACAATGTAGAAACCTTGATATTTGCAAATTTCAAGATTTTGTATTATTCAAAGTATGGAAATTTTAATACTTGACGTTCTACAAATCGCTAACTATAGAAAGCTTGGTATGTGTCAATTTTGCATATTTTGCATGATGCAATTTTCAGACATTTTGATTTTTGACGTTAAGAATGGAGACAACTAAATATTTTGCATGGTGCACAACATAGATATATTGATTTTGTCCAGTTTCTAAATTTTACATCGTTCAAAATATCAGACTTTTTATATTTTACCTTTATAATGAAGACATATACGATATTTTACTCGATGCCCATTATAGAAGGCTTGATATTTGAAAATTTCCAAATGTTCCAAAATATATATTGACGTTGATAATCAAGACAAATTCTTTTATTTGGTGCAAAATATAGAAGCTTGATATTTGCCAATTTATAGATTTTTCATGATGTAAAATATAGAAAATTGGATATTTCAATTTTATAATATAGACGAATGCAGTATTTGTATGGTGCATAATGTTGAAACTCCTATATTTGCCAATTTCCAGATTTTGCAATATAGAAATTTTCATATTTGTCGTTCATAATGAAAACAAAATTTATATTTTACATGGTGCACAATACTGAAAGCTTGATCTTTGAAAGCTTTCAGATTTTGCATGATGCAAAGTAATTTTGATATTTGACTTTTGTAATGAAGACAAATTCTTTATTATACATTGCACATCTTATAGAAATTTTGATAACTGAGAATTGCCAGATTATGGATCATGCAAAATAATAAAATTTTGATATTTGCCGTTTATAACGAAGAAAAATTGGGTATTTTACCTTGCGCACAACGTTGAAACCTTGATATTTGTCGCTTTCCAGTTCTTGCATGATGCAAAATGTGGAAATTTTGATATGAAAGTTTTTACATTCTCTTAAACGGGCCTCTGAAACCTTTGAGTATGAAGAAAAATCTTTTCAAACCATGAGGTAAATAAATATAGTCGGGTAGAAAGTGACGCAAACGGCTTAGAGCGTGCTCTAGCTTTCGTTACTATTTACTGATAGGCAAATACTGAATGGGTAGTTGACCAATCAGAGTGCGCACTTTATTTATGGTTAGTAAATGTCATTTGCATAATGCGTGTAGGGTAGTACATAAAGTGAACGAAGAGATAAAAATATATGCAAAGTGGTCGTAACAAGAATGTGAAAACCAAGGAAAACGATATAACTATAAGAGTTTGTCGCACAAGGAGCTTCAACTGTTGTTCCCAATTTTTGGTGAGTTTTATGCAGGGACAATTAAATTGGCCATCAGCAAAGGTACGACTGAGAAAGCTTAGACCTTCAAAAGAGGTGGAGCAAACAGACAAATATGAAAACTTTGCGCCAGTTTTGTTAGTATATAGTGTTATCATGATGACAATGACATCACGTCCTGTGGCCTGAGTTTTGGAAAAGGGTGGGCAGAACAGAAATTCAACATCCCGAAACTGTAAAGAACAGTTAAAATTCTCCAGACGGTAAACCTGTTACCATGGAGTTGCACTGGCAACTACACGGTCGACCAGTGTAGCAAAACCACTCTTATCTTGTGTAGACCTTTTTGCCTGCTCCATGGAGACATTTAATAATTAAGCGATATTCATCCAAGGAGCACGGTGCCCTGTATCCTGACCTATGGAATGTGACCTGGAAGGGTCCCGTTTGTATGGACGCCTAGACTTTGCAAACAGCATCTCCTCTGTCAGCCTAGTGTTTGGACAACGGCAAACATGACCGATATATTGAAATATGGGCTCCTGATGACATTTCTGAGACTGTTGTTTTTTGTTATGTGTAGAGTGTCTGTTTTGGTGTATCGGAGTCTGAATTCTGGCACAAAAAGACAGCTGTCAATTGGCTAGAGGGTCCCCAATAAGCTTTTCTGGATCATCCGGGATTTGCCTTATTTGAAGTCCAGGATACGGGATTGAAAGTATAGATTACGGGGCTGAGCGAAAATTGGGATCGGGATGATGAAGAACCCTAATTGACCACTACAGAAAATACCATAACATACCATAATGCTCTTTGAAACCGGAAATTCAACATTCGGAAAGACAACTCTCAAAATTGCATGCCAGCTTGAACGAGCTAGGCTAAGGCTAGTATGATGTCATTCATATTATGCCTGTGGTCTGAGACTTCTACAAATTAATTATTTCTTCCTTTTTTGGAAAATATATTGTTTATTAACTCAATAAGACGAAAGTTAACACTAACAGAGTTTAAAGGAGCGTTTTAACAGTATTTTGAATCAAAAGAATAATTTGAAAAATTATTATGTTTCAACTTATTCCATCTTCATTTGTTTGTAAATAAACAGAGTAGAGAGAGATACACCATCTGTACACACAACACAGTCACCCATTCAAGCCTCAGCACCAACATGCATGTTCTCCTCAACATTTGCATAAATTTCGTAAGATTCTAAAGAGGAGAATAATTTTCTTTTCATGACCAGCAGTCATTTCATAAGATGTCATGCGGGTAATTTTTAAGGTTCAAATTAAGGATTATAAGTTGGCATCATAACCAATAACTAAAAAAATAAAATAATTAGTTACCAAAACGGTTTTTCGTCTGCTCTGGTGAAGACATTTAACAAACAAATTCCAAAACTCAAACACAATAGGAATGAGGGACTGAACCTCCTGGCCACTTACAATCCTCTCTTAGCTGTTAAGTGACGGCATCTTATTTTACATCACTGATGAAGTTTGAGCGATTCAAATGCTCTGAGGTTTGGAAAGTTTTTTTTTTTGTAACTGATAATCATGAAAACCTAACAAACATAATCAAATTTCAACAGGTTTGTCATAATTACAAATACCCAACTTTGTCCTGGAAGCAGAACCTTTCAACCACGAAAGAACTGTATGGATTTAAAACATCACATTGATGGCTTTGGAAGGAGCCTAATACATTTTTTCGTACTGACTGTGGACATAGCTAGTTGCAGATGAGAGAGAAAAACTTAGAACATAGGCTTGGTCTCCAGCAGCACCTGTGTTAAAGCACCTGTGATTCTTCCCACCTCACAGTAAGATGCATGGGTTATCTACCAATCAATTACCGTGTAGCTTGTTGAAATTTATAGGAAAGAGAAAAGTTTGGAAAGCTCTGTGTGTTCCCCCTTGAAAATTTTGTACTTGCTACTGGTAATTCCAAGTCAAACAGTCTTGTTTTAGTTTTTTCAGTTATTGCATTTATGATGACATACTCAACACCCAGCCATGAGATTGGGAGAACTGCAAGTGCAGCTGGACACCCATAGCATTAATCCAAGCAACATAGTCTATAAACTCTATAGGATGGCTCATATTTCATAGACACTAAACCAATCAAAACTCTGCAATCATTACACCATGTTCTAGTTTCTAACAAATATTAGGTGTTCTAGTATGAACTGGCTAATGTGTTTGCTACCTGTCAGCTCAAAGGTAATAAAGGTGATAAAATCAATACTTGAAAAATACAATGTACTTAAAATCAATAGAAATTATAAATTTTGTTACTGCTGGGCTTTGGGTGCACAGATGGTTTCCCTGTGTGTTATGTAAATATGACCTTCGAGCAGCCTGCACAGGGTCACCAAGAAAAATCACTCAAGTTTTAACAGTTTTTGTTATGGTTTTTCTTCAAGGTTATGGCTTTTGTTTGTTGGAAATCGATCACCTACATATCATTGAAATGTTCAGTTCTACTCCATTTGCAAGTTTTTTTATCTGACACCTTGAGAAGGATTTGTGATTAAAGCTGTTGTTTTATCTTAATGTGAAGGTTTTTTTGTTGTTCGCCCTAACATTAACATTCACCAGAAAGAGCTCTATTTTTGCATTAGAAAACTAGAAGAGTTTTCTTCCCCTCTTTCGGATCCCTTTGACTTCTATTGGCTTTGATAGTTGACCCGGAAATGTGGGCCAAGCTGGTCCAAAGGACAATATCAGTCAAATCCGGGTTTAATTTCTATGGTCATTCAATGTTTATTATGTTATCTTTGCACTTAACAAATCAGCCCCGGTCAAGTATCTGCCGATAGAAATATGTGCACCTTCTAATTTTTAATGTTACTTTATGTTTCACATTCAGTTAACACACACATATGTTATGTTTAAAAGATGATTTTGATGTACTTTAATATACTACAAGTTCGTAAAATTAGTCAAGCTTTCTTAATGTTATCTACATTATTTATCTTTTCTTTCTCTATATATTTTCATGCACTATTGTAAAATAGAACGTAATTTTGCTCTGTATCATACATTAAAGCTATCTTGACCTCAAGTTTGGTCAGTAACACATACATTGTATAATATTAAGCCTTTAAGACTCACAGAGGAAAACTCAAATTAATTTAGGAACTGAAAAAACTGCTACCTGCTGATCTTCAAACAGATACCCTTGCTTTGAACATCACCTATGCAGCTCCAAAATATTAAGGTTCATGTATCTTTGAACAATTTAAACCTACTCTTCAACCAACAAAAAAAGTCTTAAAAACAATTAAGGCATTTCAGCCATTCAGTGGTCATTCTAAAGTTCAAGTTGAAGACAACATTTAGATAACAACGCACAAAGAGGATCCCAGCAAAGACAGTGAATTCAGTAGATTAATTTAGATTTAGCCTAAGTTGATTTTCAATTTCCTTTTTCTTCTAGCACTAGAAGAAAAATGAAATTGTGAATCAACCTAGGTTAGAAAAATGTTTTTCACCTGAAATCAGATTTGACCTGTAACACACTGTATGCACCAAGTTAGACTATTTACCACCCCCTATTTTTGCAAAAGATCATCAAGATTGCTATAAATGGCAGCCATCTTGGTTTCACATCATGTACCAAATGTACAAAAATATGAAAGTGACGCGGGGAAGAGTATGAAATCCACCTGCAGCAGGGGGGGGAAAGGTTGGGATATACATGTAAACTCTGCCACCCATCCCCTCTGTACATATGATATGAACTTAGAGAAAAAAGGGGGACTCTAAATGGTGTATCAAAAAGTGTGGCGGAATTTTTGTTTCTTTTTAGTAGTACTCTGTGTACATTTACATGTATGGTCATGCAAATAAAGTTTGCTATCGTTGTTGTTCTTGTCACATACTAGCAAAGAAAGATTTAAAAAGTGAAATCTGAACAGACAGTGGGCAGCAGGGTAAAACCAAAGCAGTGACAAGATAACTCTTGATTCTCAATTGGAAAACTGCTCTTGAAGAAGAAAAGTACTCATCTTGCCTGCAGAGCTTTCATAATCAGAACCTGATTTTATGATCTACAGTGTATGTACACGTATCAATACGACATGGCCTTTAAGAGAACTGACCTTGGTGGTACAGTACTGTAGACTGTGGGTAAAGTGTTAATACAGCTGTATGGGCTTGAGTGAAGACTTTTTTTGTTGTTGAAACCAATGGTGATTGCAAGAGATACACTCCTTCTGGTAAATCTGATAAAGCCAAAGAGGCAATAAGTTGTTATTATTTTTTGTAAGCATTATCTTGAAATAAGCTGTGTTTGGCCCATGGCATCTTGCTTGTTCTTTCCAAGCCCCACCTTGCAAAGTCTGAATCCACCAGAAAACAAGTTCCTTAGTGTTTATTACGTCTCTCTCTTAAAACCCTTGGAATGGAATCCTTGCCTGACTGACATCCACACCTCTGCATAAATTACGCAAACAGCATTCACCAAAGCAGATCCAAGCAGCACTGTCAAACAGTGGATTTTACAGATGCAACTGACACAGGTATAGCTTTCAGTTCAGTTCTCATGCAGATAAACTCTCCTATAACAGACATAAGTGCCATACATGCAAGGTTTAGAAGCCACCACGTTAAGGTTGTAGGAAAACCAGCATATATTGTACAGACTATCAGATGAATTAAATGTGCTGTGGCTGCAAAGTCCAGACACTGAAAAAGAAGCACACCATACATACACTCAATTAACTTCTACATGCACCAATGTACTTGTTGTCATAATTTTGTCCTTTTTTTGCTTCATGGGAGAAGGTGTTATAAACTGTGTGAAACACTAAAGCATTAGGGGGTAAAAGTAAAACAAAATACAAGTTACTTGGGATCTAACAAACATTGCAGACAGCCCATATTAAAAATAATTAAACTTACTTGTTTGGCTCTTCGTACAATAACCCACAATCCACCTGCCCTAAAAGCATGAAAAAATTACAAAAATAATATCAGCAATAATCAAGAAATTATGTATTACAGTCAAATATGTATTATACATGTAAATTCTAAACGTCCCAGATTTTAAAGGTCCACATAGTTGTTTCATGTTTAACCCACATTTGGCAACTGCATCTATTTGTGTAGGTTGGTCACCTTGGAGGTCTGGGGGCTTCAACTTTTAGCAAAGCTACAACACTCATCAAATTTCATTGCAACACCAGACTGAAGCTGGAGATTTTTCATGTCATGTCTTCTCAACCAACTTAGTCTTAACTTTTCCCTGTGTGTAACTCTAACTTTATTCTTCCCCAGAGTAGAGAATTACATTTATTTGCAAATAGTTAATGCAAGTATCAACATTAGGAAGGCTGTAAAATGACAAGTACAGTCGACACCCGGTATCTCGAACCCTCTAAAACTCGAACCTCCCGCTAACTCGAAGCAATTTTCATTTCCCTTTAGATAATTTTCTATATAACTTTACCCTTGATAACTCAAACTCCCGATAACTCGAACTTTTTTCTTTTTCCCCTGAAGGTTTGAATTATGCGGAGTCGACTGTATTTCAACAAATAAAAAGATGACAAGTATTTCAACAAATGTGATGAGTAATGTAATATTGTAGTGAGTATTGTCTAATACTGTAGCTCCCACTCTCCTCTACTCCTCTTCTTTTATTCATTTATTTATTCAGGAAAATCTGGTTTAGCAATAAATAAATGAATAATATAAAGCTAAAGAACAACTTTCAACTCACTATGAAACTGTTCAAAGCTTTATGCAACAGTTTATAAGAGCTAAATTACATTTTTTTTCAGGCAAAGGTGAATAAAGGGCTCATAAACGGTTCATGGTGACCTTATATGATTTTTGTTGGCTCCTAAAACAGTCAGCCTTATCTCCCTGTACCCAGCCAGCCAATATGAGAAATATTACCACAAGTAAGTCTCCATAATAACGATTCATTTCAACATTAGTACGGTACGGCCAGTTTTTTTAAGTCCTCAGGAAAGCCCTTACATTTTGCTGATTGACTGGTAAAGTTAACCTGTGTTAAACTATCCCACAAGGTGGTTTAAGAAACAAACAATATGATAGCTTGCAATGATAGAAGTAAGTGTAAGGTTTGGTTATCCACAAATACACAACTGATATAGAGCTATTCTAATGTAGATTTAGACAGGGCTAAAAGCGAAGCTCTCGTCAATATCTATAGTTTACATGAAACAAAATACCATCAAATTCCGAAAATAAGCCCTGGGGCTTATATTTTTCAAAGGCCCTTTTTGAGGAGCTTATTTTTGGAGGGGCTTACCTACGGAGGGAAATTTGCGTTTCAAAATCGATTCAGCTAGCCTTTTAGTTGGAAGGAAATTTACCATTTTTGCTTTGTTTTACTTTGTATTCTAGGGCAATTTCCAAGTACAAGTCCATGGCGGGGCTTATGTTTGGAGAGACCATTTAATGGAAGGTTTTTTGGGTTAGGAGTTTGGGGGGCTTAAATTTGGAGGGGCTTATACATTATATAAAATAGTGTACTGCTAAGCAGTGACGGCAACAAAAACAGCCAAAAAAAATCAGTAGGTCTAATTAGCAAAAAATAACTGCACATGCAGCACACTTTGTCTGTGTACATTTCTTTGCCGTTGTCTTGCATGACACTATAACGTTAAGGTAAAACTTCCAGAAACTACCTAGTTACACATTTCATGGAGGAAATGTTTTATGTGTTCCTGTTCACTTTTTCTTTGCTGCCACTCATTTTCACCTTGGTGGCTGCTAGCATTTCTCACGTTCTCACTGCCGCTATAAAATTTTCACGTTATTCTTTATCTCTAAAAGACTGGGTGGCTATGCGATTTACTGCCAAAACACGCAGGTACTAATACTTGAAATGCAAAATTTCACCCTGGCTTACATGAAGGGGTGGACGTACGTACATACGATTTTCTCAGAACCAAAATTACTTGGACGCATAGATAACCAAATTTTCTTACCCATGGTGCTCTGCTGCGGGCGCTTAGCGCACGAGAGCTCCACTGTTAAACTTGCAGGGGGCTAATTCACTAGGGGGCAAACTCTCGGCTTACTGTTTCCTGGAGTGGCTGTTTTTAGAAAATCTTAACAACCTCATGAATATCCGCACGGTGTTTTGATAGGCAAATGATCATTTCAAATTAAGATAAATTAATAAATTTTATTGTACAAATTCTCCTTCTTTCTATTCTCTTTTTCAATCCAGTTTTCATGACCCCCAGTAAAAGGAATTCACCTACATAGGAGAGCGGTTTCGCCCGCACTTCTGCTAGTTTTCAATAGTTACGTCAAAGGGGGGTGATTATTCGAGGGAGGCGATTACTCGAGGGGCTGGCTATTATGAAAGGAAATACGATACGCTTATACAATAAATCATAACTATAACAAAATTGTCAAATCTGATTGGCTATCAACTGCCCTGATTTCAGCCTTAATTGGACAGTTTAATAGGACAGTACGCGTCATGCCTAAGTAATTGGACAGTCCACGCCAACACGCGTGCGCTTAAATGGCTTTTTTTTCACTGCTAGCGAAACATAACTTTGAATTTCTTGTGTTTTGATTTAAAATTATAGCTTATTATATCACAAATTTTGTTAAAGTTATGATTAATTGGTAACAGAGCATCGTGTCGTCCAATTCGGTCTGTAATCATACTCGTATGATTAAAGGCCGAATTGGACTCCACTCAGTCCTGTTTCCATTACATATTCTAAGGTTATATTTTACTTCAGTTTTTGGCTCTTCAATTTATTCCCTCACCCCATGAGAGCAGCGCGCTGTACACGAACCCTTAATAACAAAAATCCTCGATTTTAAACTCACCCAGTCAGAGCATTCAAACAAAACGCCGCCATGGTTATCTTTCCCTTGAACGTTGTAAAACGCAGTTCCTAGGAAAACGAGTAAATGTAAAGAGCATGAGAAAAAAGCCAACCACAGCGAACGTGATTGACATCTTTGACCTCACCTTGGCGCGGAAAAATTGGTCTAACGACCGCGTAGATCCTGTCCAAAAATCAACTAAAAGAATCCAGAGTGCCAAGAAAATGTAGAAAACACACTGAACCGCTACAATTTGTGAAATTATTAAGCATGGATCCCAGACGTATGATCTGAAGCCAGCCGCCATTTTGCGTTTCCCAAGCATTCATGACGTCATCTAAGTTTGGAAGTCTGCTGACCGCTTGATGGAAAAAGATAAACAGAGCACGCCACGGCAGTAGGACGGAAAATGTAAGTGATTCAGATTGTAGGGGAATTTGTGTGATTTGCGATGTCACAAGCTAATCAGGTAGACTGCCCGATTTGTGGAAGCTTTTTCTCGGCTTCTTCCGTGAATGAGCATGTAAATAAGTGCCTGAATGCGAAGGAAGCTTCACCACCGAACGAGAAGCGATGTACACCACCTGGAACGAAGAGCCGACATGATTGTAGGAACAGCCCTCCTCTGGGAAAAGGTAGTTTATTGCAAAGATCGTCTGGTTTCTTTGGCAAAAGGAGTGAAAGAAAAGTTAATAACTCACTGATGACAAGTCCTGCGACGGGTACTCTAAAAAGAAGCTTATCCAACAACTTTTCAAATTTGGCGGGAAATTCAGACGCGAATCCTCCTTCCAAGAGACTGAAGCAAAATGAAGCACCAAAAACCTCTAAATCGGAGCCCAAAAGTTCAGAAAATAATCCCGGCCTTCCTTCAGGGACAAGTAATTTCGTCTCTGGCCATAGTTCAACTTCGTCTTCTTCTGGGAAAAAAGACGGTCAAAAATCAAAGAACAGCCAGTTTCTGCCACTAGCAGAAAGAATGCGCCCAAAAACTTTGGCTGAATATGTGGGGCAGTCGAAGGTGCTTGGAGAAAACAGTCTACTGAGAACCCTGCTTGAGGCTGAGGAAATTCCTTCTATGATACTTTGGGGACCTCCTGGCTGTGGAAAGGTAATCAAAACAGGGATATTTTTATTCACTGCCTGGGAGGGGGCACTGGTGGTGGACAAATCACTGACCCCCAGTCCATGAACTATCTTCGTAGACTACATTATGGAGTACCCTAAAATGGACTATGCCGCTGAAGTTTAGTGATTTGGGTCAGGAAGCGTTCCATTTAGGGTCATCATACTGGTAAAAAGGACCTGAAACTTGATTCACACAGTTTCCTTACCCTTATCACTGAACTTGAGCAGCATAATCCATTTTAGGGTAGTCCATATGGGTAGTCCATGGACTAGGGGGTCAGTCTTTTGTCCTTCACCAGGGGATCTCCCACTTAAAAGTGATGGGGATGCTCATTGGAAAATTGAAATTAAACCCCTAAGAGAGACCAAAGTGGGTGTGGCTCAAGCTTAAACTTACCCCTAAAGGAGGTCATTGTAAACAGACATCTTAATAAGAGCTAGGTAGTTTTTCATGGTGCTAAAAATGTTAACCTAGAATACTTTTACCTTTAATAGGATTTCAAAAGCATTGTCCTAAATCTCCAGTTTTTTTAAAATTGTCTTTATGCACAGCCCTAAGCGTTAACTGAATTGGCAAATATCCTGTCTCAGATTACAGTAAATCCTCTATTAAGTTCCCCCTCTCAAATAAGCCCAATCTCTCTAATAAGCCCCCCCCTTCTTTTCAGGGAAAGAAAGTTAATAAGCTACTCTCCCCCTTGTTATTCTTCACTAATAAATGATAGACTGTATTGATCAATCACGACTGTAGAACTTTGTGTGGACTGAACTGATCCGGGATGGTTTATTCACCAACTGAAAGTTCAGATATATTTTTGATCCTTGGCTACATGACCTCCAAGCTTTTCCACCTTGTATTCTAGTTCTTTATGGAGAACTGATACCATCGTCTTTGCTGAATTAAATAAGCACCCCCTCTCAAATAAGCCCCCATCTCTAGTAAGCACCCCCCCACCTCAAACATCATTGTGTTTGAGGTGTTAACAGAGGATCTACGGTGTCTTTCTTAAGGCAAAACACTTTGGGTGGCCTTCAGACACTTGCAATAAAAACATATTAACCCATTATTGATCCATTATTGATCTTTTGGGGGGAAACCGGCAAACTAATAAATTTGGGTTTTCCATGGTGTAAAAGGAATTCCAAACTAGATTTCAAGGATTCAATGGTAAGAAGCCAAACTGAAACACACTCTGGAGAACCATATCACGTGACATAAACTTGTCTGCCAAGTGAGACGCTCTGAAAATTGCACTTGTGTCTCAATTTTCACTCTTATTTTGAGGCTACTGGCCCAAATTGTTTCTGGAACAGCCTTCGGGTTAGTAGATGTTTTCATTCCAAGTAGCCTGAAGGGCAACCAACCTTTATGTTTAAATGATATCCAATAATAAAAATTTATATGTTGTACCCTATATTCTGGAGAGACCTATAGTTCATGAGCCCACAACTTCCATATAGGCTTCCTCCTAATTACCATTTTGAACATTTAAATAATTTATTAAGAATAGTGTCTAACATCTTTAATATATTATAAATTTATTGGGTATTGTATTTTATGTGGTTAAGGCAAAATAAAGGAACGAATGAATATGGGAATATTCATTTTGGGCATTTTTATTTTGAGGTTTTATTCACCTATGCCTTTCCTTTCTCCTTTCTTGTTACATAATCTGTAAAAAGTAATAGTTTAAAAGACCAAAAAGTAGAATCTAAAGTGCATGTATCTTAATTTATTGTTTTCTATCTTCAGACCACTTTAGCACACATTGTAGCCAACTCAGCAAGACGTAGTAACAAAGCACGATTTGTGCAGTTGTCAGCAACCACCAGTGGCATTAATGATGTAAAAGAAGTAGTAAAAGTTGCAAAGAATGAACAGCAGATGTTAAAACGAAAAACAGTTTTGTTTGTTGATGAGATCCACCGTTTCAATAAACTACAGCAGGTGATCATCATCTTTGTTCATGACTCTACCGGTAAAATTGTTTTTCTCATTTGGATATTTTTTGTTACATGTTTAGGGTTCGTAAAATCTTGAAAAGGTCTTGAATTCAGTTAAGGTCCTTGAAAAGTACTTGATTTCTTTATTAGGTATTGAAAAATCCTTGAAATTCACTACCTTGAAATCTCTGTTTACTATGCAGAATTCTCTGGCTAATGTTCGGTAGCCTATGACAATTTTTATTCAGACGTGGGGACTCTTTCAAAATATTCTCCTGTAATGTTACAACTTCCTCTTGCTACTAGAATTCTTAATGAAAACCCTGCAACTTAATCATTAACTGAAAAAAGCAAGCAGTAGCCTTGGGCAGGCAAAATTTGAGGACCATCTGTAGTTCAAGTTTTTTAAGCCTTTATAATTTTGTATATAATGGAATGGGCATTAATTTTGAGAACCTTGAATCACTAGCATTTTATCATTTTCAATGCAAACTTGATCTACACAGGATACATTCCTTCCACATGTTGAAAATGGAACAATAACCTTAATAGGAGCAACAACAGAGAACCCATCATTTCAGCTCAACAATGCCCTGCTCAGTCGCTGTAGAGTCATAGTCCTTGAAAAGCTTTCAACTGAACATGTGGAGCAAATCCTAAAACATGCTCTTGATAGCCTGGGAGTGTTTACTACCAAGAGGGATTCCTTGGACACCAGCCAGGTACATCTCTCATCTGAGTACAGGTGAGGAGTTTGAATTATCTGAAAGCTTTGGTATTGTGTTTTTCTAAAATTGGTAAAGCCTGGTTCTCATATGCTGCCAACCTACCTGCGACATGGCCGCTGGAACTTCCTGGGATGCGGTTCTAATATGAAAACAGAAGTGGCCCGCAATATTGGTTATCTCTGTCTTTATTGCTGGCATTCCTGAAAAGTTGACTTGGGTTCAACTTCGTAGGCATGCCAGCAGAAAAAACCCTGCCCTGTGATGGCCCTTCTTGACAGCAGCAGAGGTTCTCATTCATCCAAACAGTATCCCAGGCAGTACCGGCGAATGGAGTGAGGACAGACAATTTAATCAGACTCTTGTATTTTTGCCGACTGAGAATAGCTCCGCTAATACTATTGTGGGTAACATAACTGTAAATAATTTTCAAATGGAATAAATTTTTGTCGAAAATGAAATTGAAAATGTGCAATTGCTAATTTGTTGTGTGATTCTTTTGTTAGTGACTATCATGTTGTAGTAGAAGAAGAAGCTATTAAAGCCTTAGCAAACCTCTGTGATGGTGATGCCAGGATTGCACTAAATGGCCTTCAGCTTGCAGTGCAGTCACAAGTGTCTGCCGTAAAACGTAAGGCACAGAACAATACTAATTCATCCAACAGTATGTCGTTATCACTCCATCAAAATGGAGAATGCTTCAAACGTGGAACTCTACCATCATATGCTGCTAATGATACTCTCGAGTCCAGTGAAAAGAAAACTGTTTTTGTTAATGTTTCTCACATCAAAGAGGGTCTGCAAAGAACTCATCTGCTTTATGACAGAAATGGTGAAGAACATTACAATATTATTTCTGCAATGCACAAGTCAATAAGAGGGGGTGATGAAAATGCTGCATTGTATTGGCTGGCAAGAATGCTTGTTGGGGGTGAAGATCCATTATATGTTGCTCGAAGACTGGTGAGATGTGCAAGTGAAGATATCGGCAAGTGTTTACTTGTTTCACTGATAATAGAACTAGAGGATTATGTTTCTTATAGGGAGTATCGACTGATGTATCAATCGACATCTCAGTTGACTGGTGGTCAACATATCGGTTGCTAATTTTGTTGAGTCTCGGTCGAGATTGAAGGAGACTCGAATGGTAATCAGCTGTTACAGTCTCTTGGTCAATAGTTGGTTGTCACTTTGTCGATCGATCACTGACATATCACTGACAATTGGTCAATGTAATGGCTGATACCCCAGTCAACTGTTGTTTGACATGTCAGTCAACTGTTCTTTGACATGTCAGTCGACATATCGACTGTCTCTCCACTGACTCTTGTCTAACACTACTCTAACACTTGACTGATATGTTGACTAGCAGACAATCAAGATGTCAGCCGATACATTAGCCTGCGAAAACGTCTGTTTCTCCTCGCTCTTCGCCGCTGGGGACGTTTCACGCGGAGGAACGTCTGCGACTCAGCAACAGAAATTCCATACTGATGATGTAAAATCTGTCCGGAATCCGGTCAGAAGGGCTGATTGTTCGACGGAGTAGTTACATTGTTTTAGGTATTGTTTGCGAATGACAGGCAAAAGACAGAAGGCCACAAAAGTCAAATGTAAACGCGAAGAATCTCTAACAAAACAGTCAATATTTGTAGAATATACTCTTCTCTAGAAGAAGCACTTGAATTTTGCTGGAGCTCGTTGGCAGATGAACACAACACTTTACCAAAATCGACCAGAAGACACGTAAAATTGGACAAATTTGTATTTGGAACCCCATGACTACCGGATTTATTATGTAAACATTGATGTGCGTCATCGGTATGGAATTTCTGCTGCTGAGTCGCAGACGTTCCTCCTCGCGAAATGTCCCCAGCAGCGAAGAGCGAGGAGAAACAGATGTTTTTGCAGGCTACCGATACATGAAAATAGCCCACGATTTGGTAACTGATCAATCTGGTACAGGGGATGCCGATTGTTGGCCAATACACCACTGATATGTTCACTGATACTCTACTGATGCTATTGCGACCAGCTGTTGGTTGATCTGTTGGCAGACACTTGACTCATACTCGACTGAGAGTATAATGCCACTCAGCCAATATATCAACCGACAATAATATTAGTGGCCGTTATTTGGCGACCAACAGTTGAACAAGATGTCAGTCAATGCCCTATATAAGACACATGATACAATTTTGATTCCCTCAAGTACACTAGTTTTAATACAGAGGATTACAAAAGTTGCTTGCCAATTGGCATTTGGTGATCCATTGACCTTTAGTTGCACCCTAACAGTTTCCTAGCATCTAAAATCTAATATGCAGCTAGAAAAATAATGTCAAAGACTTAAATATTCCATTCAGCAGTTTCTTTCTATGCCAGCTTCAGGAAGCAGCTGAATTTTTAAATTAAATTTGCATAAAAAGCACTTAGTCATTGACAAGTTCTTTAAACTGTTTTGTCTCCTTATAAAATATTCTTCTATAGTTTCATGTGACCACCAGTTACACCAATTTATTAACTGATTATTTACATCCTAGCATGTGAATGATCAGATGCACATATCAATAAATTAAATTAGTCAGATCAGCTTGGTGTGAATCCATGTTGATAGGTTTTGGCTGTCTGTGACTAATCCCCTTTTTGTGGTTAAACAGAATGCTGGACATCATGAGAAGTTGACAATAAGAGTGAAACCACTAGAGTCTAATTTATTGATAATAGTTGAACCGCCATTAAGCGGCTAGTAATCTTTAAGTCGCGAAATAATTGTGGAAAAGAATGGGAACTTAAAGCTCTATTAAGTGGCCACCTCTATTATATAAGAGGCTGTGGCCACCTTTATGGTGTCTCAGCAAGAGTTCTCCCATTGTTGTGAGCTCTATTAAGCAGTCATCAAGCCCTTGATATTTTTAGTTTGGCTTTATTTCAAGAAAAGTACTATTATTTCAAGGAAAATACGATCCGAGATAGAAGGTGATGACTGATTACGGAGCAGTATTAAATGCTGCTCCTGTTGCGTGTTTGTTTCAAATAAAGTGATTTTGCTGCTAAAGATTATGCTAATTAAAGACTAACCTTTATGAAGCGGCCAACCTCCATTAATCGACCACTCACCAGCATCCAGAGGGTGGCTGCTTAATGGAGGTTCAACTGTAGTTGTTTTGTTTTGTGCAGGTTTGGCTGATCCACAGGCCTTGAACCAGGCTGTGGCTGCTTACCAGGCTTGCCATTTTATTGGAATGCCAGAGTGTGATGTAAGTACTCACAAAGTTTTTCCTTGGTTGCTGCAATCTCAAATTAACTGTATTTATTTATTCATCTATTTATTTATTTTTGCCAAAAAGAAGGAATATATGACATCTGCAGTTGGAATACAGTACGATTTTAGTGCATGGCAGATAGATTTACCATGAGAAAGAGAAAGAAAAAGGGGAGCATTTTACACAAGTGAGATATAAGAGGAATGGCATAGAGGCCCCCAGAAACTTCTAGGCTCATAGAAGAGGTCTCATCACATGATGTTAAATACATTATTAATATGTCGGACTAGTATTGGTTAATATAGGTCAATGTGTCCTGATGATGCAGTCTGTGTGGCTCCTAATGGGGGATGAATATAATAAGGTGCATTTTTAATGATAATGATATTAACAAAATATAATAAGAAGTGGTTCCCAAGCAATCATTTTTGTAAGCAAAGATAATGACAGGGTTCGTCTTGCACTTTTGAAACTTTTGAGTTTTTGGAAAAGTCTGGAAAATAGACATTAAGTCTGGAAAAATGGTAAAAAGTCTGGAGTTTTTTTTTTCAAAGCTGCAACAAGTGCTTAATAAGTGAATTGTTTTTCTCATTGTCAAATCCCATTTCAATCTGACCCCTAGCCAAGACATTTAATCACACATAACTCTCATATATCCGCATTGTACCGTGGTTATCTGACGTTTGAAGTGCATCTTGAAAAAAGGTTGGTTGCTACATTTTTTTAAGGTCTCTATTGACCACCTATTTGGTAACCATGAGTCTGAATAAATATATTTAGTCTATTGTTTTGGAAAAAGTCTGGAAAAAGTCTTGAATTTGGATCTAAAAATCTGTACGAACCCTGTAATGGGTAGGGCAACCTTAAATGTAGAAACGCTGGGATTTGGAGGAAGAGAGTTGGTTTAGAAATTAATATTTTGTGCTCTCTTCACAGGTGATTCTTGCCCAAGCTGCTGTGTACCTTGCCAGAGCTTCCAAGTCTATAGAAGTGTACAATGCGTACAGTGAAGCTAAAAAGCTTGTGAATGGCTGGGAAGGCCCTCAACCATCAGTTCCATTACATATTAGAAATGCACCAACCAAACTCATGAAAGGTCTAGGTTATGGTGCTGGTTACAAGTACAATCCTGCATTTGATGGACCCGTTGATCAAACATACCTACCTCCGGAAGTGCTCGGGGTTGATTTCTTTGCTTGGAGTAAAAAAGAAAAAAAATAGAAAGTAGAACTATAGGTTTACAATCATCTCTCTTGGATGATAGACGCATGCCGTAAATGAACAGGTCAATTTGGAGCCTGTTGATCTTCAGTCATTTTTACTTGATATTACTCTCTGAAAGGTGGTCACCTCTCTTAAAACACCCTCAACATTGGTTCCAGTGTTCGGAAAGAGTTGTCTGGAGAGTATAGCTATGGCATGATTGTTATTATCCTCGGTGAGCCAGGCAGTGCCAGATCCAGACTTTGAGATAAGGGGGGGAGGGGTCATCCTGGGAGGGGGGCAGTCTCCAAAAACAATTTGTTCAGCCCTTTGGGCCTCAGTTTGGTCTAAAAATAAGGGGGGGGGCCATCCTGTGGATCCACCACTGCCAGGGGTAGTTTGATTGCCGTTGGGTCTCTAAGGGTGGGGGTAGCTACTGGTAGGGCCTTAAAATAGGAACATTTTATTTTGCAGTGTTGCATTTTTGTTATTGTATTTTGAGTTTTGAAATAATTTGTAAAAATTTTTCAGGCCAATTTTTGCACCTTTTTTTAGCATTCCATCTGGGCTGAAATTCATCATCTCTGGGCTGAGATTTCCTTTAAAACCGACGCCTGAGGGGCTTAGCTGGTTCGTTTTACCAACTTTTATATGCCATTCCAGCTAACCAAAGTGGCTGGGTTGCCATATAATCGCAAAGTTAGTTTTTGTTGTGTCTATTAATAGTACTGTGGTCAGCCTGGCCCATGTGAGGTTACAGGTGCCTATTGCTCATACACAATGAATTGTTAAATCTCTTTTAATAGGTAAATAATTATTGGGATCATTGTCACAAAATTGTCCTTTCAACTTCTGTTATTGCAAACACCATCGAGACCACGAATTAGTTTCCTTTCAACAGAAAAAGGTTTAGTGCATGAAGTATTGAGACAGATTATACAACCTAATTCAGGGGCACCCAAAGACGGTTTCCTCCTAAATACATTAAAAAACACTTAAAAGGCTATCCAGAGTACTTTTAGAGCTCTAGAAATGCATTCTAAGTGGCGCTATAAAATTTGTATCTGTTCGGTCATCCTAGGGTAACTTGAGTGTTTTTGAAATTACAAGCGCTTTAGTTTTATTTTCCAGAAAATTTTAGAAAAATTGCATCTGATTCCTCTCTTCGAAAATTGAATTGAGTCCGAAAATTTCAGGTTTCCTTTTTTCCTACGAAAAATATCTTAACCAGGGGAGTGAAATGTGAAAAAATTAACTAAGGAAAATCGTGGGGCATTTATTAGATAAGCTTCGAAATTGTACATGAATGGAACCGATTATAGAAATTTTTAGCCGTCCTTAAGTAATAAAAATCTCCTTCTCCGAACAGATATTTTACAAAAATCGCGGTCATTGGGTGCCCCTGCTAATTGATGGTACCGGAACTTGAAACCTGGTGGCCTAAGTATCAGGCGTTTTGGGGGAAAAGAAGACGAGAGAAGGGAAGAATCAAAATCTTTCTCCTCAGCTAACCCCCAAGGAAGGCCTAGTAACGTGGTTGGAAGATGTACACAAGAAGGAACATAAGCCAGCTAAAAAATGTTAAAATAGATTATAAAATATGAAGGATTAAATCTTGATGCCAAATGAGCGTCCAAAGTTTTTCTTATCTGAAGAATAGAAAAATTCTAAAGCTTTCTCAAGGTAGCGTTGTAAATAACGTCATCCCTTTGGCAAATGACGTCATGGTAACTTACACCTCTAGCGTGCGATTCTAAAAAAGCAATAGGCCATTTGCACTAAGAAGTCATGTGACATCGTTTTTATGAAAATGAAAGTTACATGATTTTGCCTTCGAAAAACGATTAGTGGGTCATATCCTAAACAAAATAAAAGTGATTTGGTTTTTCGAACCTGCAACATTTTCTTAAAATGAGTAAGTTCGTAGCTGGTCACCTGACCAAATGTGATTTTGAAAATTACGAATTACCTCTTTCTGAACACAAATTTTGCACTTAAACTTCAAGGAAAATGTTGAAAAAATGATGTGGTAACGTTTACAGCACATCTGAAGGTAACTATCAAAAGTTTAACAAGATGTAAGCAAAAAGTAGTTTTGGCCGCCATGTTGGAGGGCAAGAGTATGCCCTCCAACATGGCGGCCAATACAAATCATGTTACTTTGTTGAAAAAGTAACATGAAAAGTGTCCTAAAATATCTCCCTTAAATGCTTTTCTCCTCAAATTTCGGGTGTAAGGTAATTTTTATGTGCTCTGTCCATTTTTGGCATCAGCAGGATTCCAACTCATTGTTTGAAGGAAGCATTGGTCACGTGACCTCTTAGTGCAAACGGCCTATTTGCTTGTGCAATCACTCACTTGTTTATTTACCCACGTAGCGTCTAGTGAGCTAAAAAGCTCGTTCAACATAAGTACGTGCTAACTTAAAATAGCCTTAAAATATAGAGAATTAAAAAATATATTATATTTATGTATAAAACAAGTAGATTTTTCATTAAAAAAAAAACAACAACTAAAATGTACAACTGGAAATGTCACTATATAAGGATTAAAAGGACTAAAAATTACTGTGAGTAAGAGTGGGATAGATAAAAGCTGATTCTAATATACAAGATTAAAAATGGAATTAAAGTGATTTATTCTTAATTGACTTTGCAAACTTGGATAGGTTTCCTTTCCTTACATCGGGTTCAAGTGAGTTCCAGATTTTAGCGGCTTCGGAATTGAAATAGTTCTTCATCCAGTAGACATTTAACAATTATTCCTAGAGCCCGAATGGGCTCTGAGTCAATAGCATGGGCTATTGACTCAGAGGCCACGAGGGCGAGAGGAATAATTGTTTTAGAAAAATTCAACTAGTTGGTCAAAAATATCGAGACAAAGCAGTTTTAGCTAGTTAAAGCTAGACTTTAATCCTTTTTTGCTACAAAAAAGCCGGCACTTTTCGCTACTAGTGGGCTATAACATATAGCCTAGTAGTAGCTCAACCAATCAGAACGCAGCATTGTTAATAGACCACTAGTTAGATTTTACTAACGTAGGATACATTGGCCTCGAACAAGGCACAAAAAAGTCTGAACAGTTTAAATATGAGGCGTAATTGAGAAGAAAATGTTGTTCGGTTTCACTTTTTTACCCAGGCTTTCTGTTAAAAATTTTCCTTTGTGACGTCTGACGAGTTTTTTTATGTTTGGCTCTTTTACGGCTCTGGTAAAACGCATAACTGGTGTTATGGATGGTCTACCGAAGCGGAAGGCAAGCTCTCTATTTCACGACCATTTATGGAGTATCCTGAGAAGCTAGCTCGATTGGCATGTGGATCACGTCTTTCCCGCTCGCTCGCGGGTTTTCTAAACAAGGATTAAAGTGCCCTTGTGCTGACTGCAAGTATCGCAGCTCCGGAAGAGTCTGCGCGCGCAAAAGAAATTTGACAACTGTTTATGACATCACTAAAATTTATCTTGATAGAAGAAAAGAGAAGTTTGGCGAGATATTTGTGACTGATTTTTTATGCAATCAAAGCATTCTCCTTTCAGTCTCTTCTAAAGCATTTTCTTGTTGGTAGTTAAGATCTTATTATGCTTTCTCCTCAAGAGAAACTTTTTTTGTTTTTTTGATGGGGGCGCAAATGTTGGCTTAAAAACGTTAAACCAACAAAATGCTATCAATTTTTTTTTAACCTGTGTTCAAGATTCCAACACGACTTTTTTCTCACCGATGGAGGCACCGCAAATTTAAAAAAGATTTACAAAGGCTGAAGGTGTCGGAATGTTGTTCGCGAGTTGAACAATTAAATAAAAGAGCAGCTGTTGGAGAACTTTAAACCAACAAAATGCTATCAAACAAACAGGATCATTTGGGGTACATCAACAACTCCATTGAGTTCCGGTTCATTATTAACGCCACCATTTACACCGTCGTTCAAGTTTCCCTCACAGTGACTAGCCTGCGAGCAAGCTCTCCTATTTGGGCGAGTGCTGATGAGTCTCTCGAGAACGCTGCCGGACCTGGCGACCACCCACCATTTCCCGCCATTTGTACCCCCGAGTGGGCTAATAAAGCAAACAAAATAAAAGGAACTGGCCAAGCAACTCTGACAACAAAGATTGAACTTTTAACCACTGTTAAAGGCACTGATGTTTGAATCTCAGGTGATGAAAAGTAAGGAGAAATACGAGAGAGGAAGTAAAGAACCAAAATGGGACGATTGTCAGAACAATTGTTCTTCCGAGTGCCTTCTATCCTTAGCGAACAACTGTCAACCTGTAGTCTGCGAGGGTAAAAAGGGAGCTTTAACTAAAGAAGACAGGGCAACCGGAGTTAAAACACCTAAGGACCTGGTGAGTTTAATCAGAAGTTACAGATACCCTTCTAAATTTTATTTGAGGTTTCCATACATCCCTCATTCCGCATACGCATGGCCTTTTTATAAAGACTTCGTGACCAGAAAAGGGCAGGTTCTAGCCCTTAAAATGCTGCCTTATCGGACTGAAAAGGGGTTTAATCAGCGTGGCAAATTTAACAGGCTGCGACTACAGCTGCAGAAAACCAGAGCTCTTATCGTCGTTTTTTAAAGATGACGTTTTAAATAATGTTATATATTTTTTCTTTGCAGAAAAGCAAACTTAACAGATTTATCTCCTGGCTGCGACGCCATTCCTGCTGCAGACCAAAACCTTAGGAATAAAAAACCCATCTGTTTTATTTCATATATTATCTTTTTGTTCCGGTGTAAAAGGACAAAAAAGCAAAAAGATAAAAGATAAAACAACTAAAAAAATTACAAAAAACACAAAAATTAAAAACTAGAAAGAAAAAACAAAAAAACAAAACAAAATTTGGAAAAAATGAAATTTTAATGAGGTTTCTCTTTATTTGGTTTTATCTGTTGCCAAATGTAGGTTTTTTCGGCAGTTCGACCATATTTAAATAAACTTTTGCCGGAACGTGCTCTAAAGTGCTGTTGCGCCCAGGATGGACAACAAGCAGTGAAGTGACCCACAAGGATCGAGATCCTGTGATGGACAGATAACTGATCATACCAGAAGGACAAGAGATTCTGGTAAGGCCACAAATTTCTGCGAACGGTTTGTTGTCATAAGAGTAGATTTGTAAATAATCTGCTTGGGAGTCGGTTGGAGAGAGGGAGAAATTAAATCGGGCACAAATCATAATTAGGGTCTTTTATCAGACACGCGATAAGAGTGGGCAATTATAGGGTTATAAGACGTTCAGTCGACTGAACCATGGACTAAAGCCTTTCGCAGTTTCCACAATTTCTCACGGTGGGTGGAAAAATCCAGTCGTTCGAAGGCCGATTAGCGCTTAACCTAGGGTTAAATTTAACCCCGGTTTCTTTTTCTTTTGTTCAAAAGCATTTTCTTGGATAATTTTCTCTGTTATTTTTAAGAGCATCCAATCATCAACTTGCTGACCGAAAGAATTAAACTGAATTTACTTTTTAAGCTTTCATATCTGAATGCAAATTTCACACTATCCACGGATTATCTAACCCAGCTTTGATCAACCCGGCCCTTCGGCCCTGCTGGGCGTTAAAATACCGTAAAATTCCGAAAATAAGCTCCGGGGCTTACATTTTTCAAAGGCCCTTTTTTGGAGGTGCTTATGTTCGGAGGGGCTTATGTACAGAGGGAAATTTGCGTTAAAAATCGATTGGACTAACCTTATTCTTGGTAGGAAATTTACCGTTTTTCTTTGTTTTAATTGTATTTGAGAGCAATTTCCAAGTACAAGGCCCTGGGGGATTATATCTGGAGGGGCGATTTAACGGAGGGTTTTTTGCGTTACGAGTTTGGGGTGCTTATATTTGAAGGGGCTTGTACATGGAGGGGCCTATGGTAGTTCTGCTTGGGAGAGTAGGGACTGGGACTTCAAAGTTTCCAAAATGGCGGATTTTTTCAAGAGGGTCATTTCATCGCGAAGCTCTAACACTGATTGAAAACATCCATTGAAAACTTTTTCGAACTTCTCCAATTTTTTGCAGAATCCACGAGCTATAAGTTGCGTAAAACTTTGCGAGATGGTGAGTTTTTCTTCGTTGACAAACCTGTGCGTGCAGCAAAATCTGCGAGTGCGGGAGAGCGGGAAATTAAGCTTAATTGAGTGTTAGAAAAAGACGACGCATATAAGCAAATATATGCAAATGAGCATGAGCTACTTTTCTGCAATTCCCTGCCTTGTTCCGGGCTTGAGCGGAGGAGATTTCCCAGCATGAACTGTTTGCAAAGAAAAGCTAGCTCTGACTGTGTAATGCAGGCAAGCAGCATTCTCAGCATTCAGCTGAGAATCCAGGCTTTCGTTCCTTTTAGGGAATCTTAAAAGTAACGAAAGCCAGAATTGATGCATTTTATGAATCATAGTGGACTGCTAGTGGGATTGATTGATTTTTTCTCATCAGTAATGTTTGATGGGTAGAATTGTGGGGGTCTTCAAGGAGGCACTCTATGAACTTCGAGTAGTGTGAAGTCGCTAGAATTCACATGGAAAAAATTCTTAGTGTGACGCTTCTTTCTCAGGCATTACCTCTCACAGATAAGTTTGCTTCTGACTGCTATGTGTGTTAATCAAAGAGCTTTTCGGTATTTTCCTAAAATCCATCTTTTTTATACTCGAGCCATTTACCTATGACTTGGTGCTTTCCCCACCGAGGGATTGAAGAGTTGTGTCTGCTCAGCACCTTGGTGATTTACAGCTCATTGTACCTGTTGAATTTGTATGTGAACTTGCCATTTGTTTTCCATTCACCACCAAAATAATGCAAAACATGCTTTGCTATATGCATTTCAGTACAGTCAACTCTCTAGTAATCGACTACCCATGGTTCACGACAAAGTCGTCGCTTATAGGAGGTTATCATCTGTGGGGAAAAAAAAGAAGAATATCTCAAATTTTTGCCCCAAGAAGAGGTCGTGGTCATTTAAGAAATTTAAGTAGTGGTCGCTTATGGGAGGTGATTACTTACGAGAAATGGTTATGAGAGAAATGACTTTATAAAAGGACAATGAAACAAAATGAGAAAGAAAGAAATGGGAGTTTTTGTGATAAGATATTGGCAGCTGGTCACCTGTTCAGTTCCTAACTCCACCTGTCAGGGCTTAAATTGAGTGGCAATATTCACCTCCAGTTCTGCATGATTTTTCAAGACACCTATTTCCATTTTAATTTGCATGTTCAGGTGTGACTGAAGGTATGAGTATTAGGGTTAGTGTGAAAGTTAGAGTCTTCAGTCACACCTGTGTATAGCTGCAATTTTAATCCTTGATTAGTGTGGGAGTTTTTTACTCCTGGTTATACCATTTTGTCCATAGCTGAAAATATCTCACTTATTTGATATTGCAGTCAAATTCAACATTTAAACAACGAGTAACAAGGAAGCTGATAAGTCATGCCTTGGGAGTGGTTGGTTGTACTGGTCTCATGTTTACCAGCTACTTCACTATCACTGGGGATGAACAATTTTACAAATCGTTCATCATTCCTTCGGTTATGAGAGTTCTTGGTGCTGAACAAGCCCACACATTTGCTGTCTGGTTAGCCAGTAAAGGCTTCATTCCTGTTGATGTGGACGGAGACCCTGAAATACTGGTAAACCTTCAGTAGTCTGCTCAGAAACTCAATTTTTTCTTGAAGACAACTTTCACAAGAATAATAATTTTACAATATTTAGTTTTCATTTAAAAAGGACTTTGTTTAAATACAAGGGCTTCTCTTACCAAGAATTTAATTCTTGATGCCAAGTGGTGAGATCTAAAGAGATCAGTATACTCCTTTGTACCAAAATATTTTTAAAAAAATGTTCATCTGAGATAATTCAATTCCAATTATAGACTATTTGTGATTATGATTGTTTTCATTTTCATGCTGATATTGCAATGCTGGATTATACAATATAATGTCATGATGACCACTCCACGAAAGCAAATGTCTCTTCTGTCTCACTTCTTCTTTATAATTATTTTCTCTATAATAAAGCAAACTGATAAATAATGATATCTTTAGTATGTTTCTGTTTTGCTTAATTTTTGTGCACATATTGTGAAAACATAATAAAAAGTTATTATGATCTTGTTTTGTCTTGTCTAGCAAACCAATGTTTTTGGTCTTCATTTTTGCAATCCCATTGGCTTAGCAGCGGGTTTTGACAAACACGGAGAAGCAGTTGACGGACTTTTAAAAGCTGGATTTGGTTTTGTTGAAATAGGAAGTGTAACTCCATTGCCACAACCTGGGAATGACAAGCCAAGGGTCTTCAGACTTATGGAGGACAAAGCTGTGATTAATAGGTGAACAAGGGTTTGAACAAAAATTAAGTTCAGAAATTTGTTGTACTTATAAGTACAACATTCGTGCTTCTTGCAATGGAGGATTTGTAGGTGAGTGGTTAACACCTCATTATTTTGGATCTGGAGGTGTGGGCTCCAGCTGTGAGGTCTGTTGCAGGGTTTGACTTTAGTGCTCACCCACTTGCTAATTTAAGTGTTAAAATGACCAGTAGCTCTGTGCCACAGAAACTGTAACTTTCACTAATGCTCCAGCCTGATGACTCAAACTCAAATCTCAATAGGGTCAAGAATCTTAACTGACCGAATGCATATTAATCCAGCTGGCTATTTACAAGCATGAACATTGAGGATTTGAACTCAGGACTGTGGTGAACAAATCCAGCCAGTGATCAGAGTGGGAATTGACCTTAGTGCATCCGAATTGTCCAGTGCTCTAACTGCTAGGACACACTGCCCCGACTAGCTAGAAAGGGCATAGAGTTTCATGGTCTGGTGGCATTGCTGACTCCCTGTCACATATACTATACACACAACCGCAGGGTCATGTTTTTTTCCTTTCCCCCTTTTGCATGGCCTTTTTCCCCCTTTCTTTCCTACCATCAAGCTTTGAGAGGTTGTGCAAGATGTGTTTCTTGTATGGAAACTTGCAAAGATGACCTTTGCAGATGACCTCGGATGTGCTCTAAAGCACTGGACGCTTACGCGTTAAAACAAAATTTAAGATGCTTAAGGAGTATACACAATATCAGAAGGTCAAAACAGTTAGTACACCACAGCCCTTATGAAACTAAATAATAAGCTAAACAATAACAATGTTATCTTGTCTATTTGGTAGGTATGGTTTCAACAGCCATGGGCATCACGCTGTTCAGACAAGACTGGAGCAGCAGTTCCTTGTCCGGGGACATCCCCCTGGGATCCTTGGAATTAACCTTGGTAAAAACAAGACATCGAACAATGCTGTGGGAGATTATGTCAAAGGAGTGCAATGTTTCAGTGGTTTGGGGGATTATTTGGTAGTTAATGTTTCATCACCCAATACACCTGGACTGAGGTCATTGCAGGGAAGAGAGCAACTAGCAAACTTAATAGATAAGGTTAGGAGAAAAAAATATAATGGTAAATTAGGAGATTAAGATCCCAGAAAATATACTGCAGATCTGAAGTGATGAGAACAAAAATGAAATATCCATAGGAGAGACAACTGGTAAAAAATCCTTTTGGCCAAAAGTAAGTCCAAAATAACAGGAATGCATTATACTTTACCAGGGTTGTCAGAAAGTTTTGAAGTGGACGGTTTAGTTGTCAAAGTAACCAGCCAGTACAAGGATATTTTATTTAAAAAATGCCATCCATAAAGAAATGTCAAGCAGAGTAGCTGGCCGACACTAACCAAGTAGGTGGCAATTTTCGCTGGCAGCGGGCTACTTTTGACAACCCTGCTTTACATTTATGGATATATCGTTTCAATAACAATGGCTGTTGTGAAACTTGAAGTTTCACTTTGAAAAAGATTCCTTACTTCAATCCAGCCCTCCCTGCCAA